AAAAAACACCAACAAAAAACACACCATTTGCATATCACTTTGGCTGAAATGGACGCCTCGCCATAAGTTCATATCGTAATGTTATTGACGATTCGGAGAAATTGTTTTGATCCCAAATAAAATGCTCAAATTGAATTTTGTGTTAATGGACCAGCAACGTTTGTACATTCGACATATCAACGACGCACACGATCGAAATTGAGATAAACACAAATGTCAAACATTCCATGTGCCACCATTTTTTTTCTAACTCGCATGTCATCCAAATCTTCAACGCATTGCGCACAGTTTAAGAGTACTTTTGAAACCAAAGCGTGTTGCGATCGAACGAAAATGTTCAACACTCGTCAAAATTGTCCAGGAGTTTCAATCATCAATATGAATCAAAGTTCTACCGAGAAATTCCATTCAGTCACAAGAAGCGTTGCAAGTTTCCACTTGAATGAAATACAGTCATGTATTCACAATTCACATACGATTTCACTATTACTTCCAGTGAGCCGAATTAGATTTTGTTGTGAGCTATATCGCTGCTATTTTGAATATATGCGATTCAAAGAAAATGGACCGGAGAAATAAGAGGTTTACAAAGAAATGAAAAACGTTATAGGCTTTACGAGCATACGTCAAATTTGTCGAAGAGCAAACGCTTGCACGGGCTAAACATATTCACAAACACACACTCATATACACATACAGTGAAGAAGAGACGGTGATGGGAAAACGGAGTGAATGTGATTGTGTATGAGAGTGGTAGACCTTACGCATACCTATTTTGATGCCCAATACACCGAGGGATATAATATGTTTTCACATCATAAATAGCTCTTCAGTGTAATGTATGTTGACATTTTGGAGCCCAATTTACCAAAAATGCTATAAATTTACGACACATTAAACAAATTTTACATATTTGTGTAGTACCATCGCTCGGTGTTTCATCGCAACCGACAATATCTACATCAATTTCTTGCTATTTGGTGCTTGTGAGTATGCACATTTTTTCGCCCTCTTTTTGTATATTATGTGCATATATGAGCGGGCGTGTGTGTGTGTGTGGGCTGCTCAAAGTTGGCTGGTCTGTTGCTTTTCTTTTGGGCCTATACCTTCGCGTATCGGGGTGGCCGTTAGGCCACATTTCAAATGTGTATGAGATGTTTTCACGTTGAGGACACAACACGTTCATGTAAATGAATTTAACATTTTTCAGGTATAATGGGGCACATAGTTTGGTAAAACTTTCCAAACGGCGGTAAACGTTCTCAACATAATGCGAGAATGTGATATGTATCACACATATTACAACCTGCTAGCTGTAGATAGCTATTACGGTCCTATCTTTATGCACATGACATACACCAAATTATAGAGAGAAACAGACAGAGAGAGAGAAAGGGGGAGTGTGTGTTTGTGAGTCAGAGAAATATAAAATATTAGTCATGGGCACGATAATAATATGTACAATTACAAACGCCTTTTTCATTCATTTTTACTCGGATAAAATGTTCAACGAAATGATACCGATGCGATATGGAAAAAGGTAAACCAGAAGTAGTGTTCCTTCGATATATGATGTATCATTTATGTTTAAATTAAAATTATGCACACATCATCGCACACATTTAACGAATTTATTCTTTTAGTCAAATTTACATGAAGTAAACAACCAGAATGATCTACCGTTCACCGTTTGCTATACTAAGCCAAGGGACGGAAGCAGTGGAAGGGAGTTAGTTTGCTTTCTACCATTTACAAACACGGCCACCATTCAAAGATGGAAGTGGAAAAGTGAGTGCTTCCGGAACGCATACACAACTCGTATCTATTGCAATTTGTCTGGTTACCAAAATTTACTCCGAATGTTTGCTTTCATGTGTGTTTGATGGCAGCAATAATAATAATAAAAGGACATCGCCAGCTGAGTTGATGCCGTTTCTGTGCTTTTAACTTGGGCCACGTTAGCATGGATCCCACAAACAACCAAATTTGAATTTTATGGCTGGTGCGGCTATTTTGTGAGTCGAAATTATTAGTCGAAGGTGGTTTCAACGTGAGCGAGCAGAAGATACATTTCGCATCGTTATTATTTACATTTCATTAGTATGCTCGCATAATGATATATAAATATCCGATAATTTAAGTGAAATGATGTTTTGTGTCATGTTCGACATGTCTTTATTATACCACTTAAGACCTTGTTCACTTGATTGCATTTCAAGCAACTTCAGTTTGTTTTTCCGGCCAATTTGAGTGTCTCAAAGTGAATTCGAAAATGATCAATTCGTTTCAATTGCTCTCAACGACCAATCCACTAAATTGTCAACTATATATGATATTGGCACGTCTTTGCTGAAAATGTTGACATGCCCATAAAATAGTTTGCAACCGTTCCAAAATTGATTTTTGCGCGGCCAACACATAAAATATACCGAACATAAAAAGCACAACAGTTTATAATAAATTAACGGAATGTAAATAGAAAAAAGCAACAAAACTCAAACACAGCAAACCACCACTATTCTCGAAACAACTTGTTGGTCGCCCGAACCACCATTTCACCATCAATGGACAGAGTGTTACGACTTAACCTAGCATAATTGATATTATTTACAATTTTTGCTTTGGCCTTATATTCATTGGTTTTTGTTTGCTTACATGCACCATTTTCGCCACCGAAAATGTTTCGAACGAATAGGAAAGAGATCAGTTGCCAGTGCGGCAATTGGATTCGAAAAGGAAGATATTTAGGGGAAGTGAGGGCAATTCGATGTACAATTTTCAAGTTGTTTGAATTTCACGTAATTTTTGAATGATGTCCATTGTGGTTTTTTCATATATTACTCAAAAGGTGCTTAAAATTTAAAATGATATGCATAGACATTGAAATAATCTTATTAAAAACTTAAATTGATTGAAGAAAATTGCCGACAAATACTTTTGTTCGAAACATTGTTTTGTTTGAAACATTGATCCGAGTTATAACCAACATTTACCATTCATGCAGGAAAGTTTTGATGGCAAAAGATGCGAGATGTGTGTAAAAGTTTCGCATGTTCAACACTAAATTTGAATATATTCTATATTATTCTAATTTTCGACGACTTCCTATACAGAAGAAAATTAAACCTCGTCGAATTGCCCGCTCTTCCCCAATTTTCTTACGCTCGTGATCTCTGTCAATGCGAAAGAAAGAAGAAGACAAAAGCAGTAACAAATGATGGCAAACATTTTCAAGATACACGTAACATAGTAGTAGATCCGAGCAACAGTAGCAAAAGAAGAAGGAATTCGACTGCCAACAAACAACTTCTTGAAAAACAAAGAATCACTAATAAAAATAAATTATTGCTCATCCATTTGCAGCTTTTCGTGCGATGTTTGCCAAAATAAATTTATTTATTAGATAGTGCGCAACTTAACACTACTTTCAAAACAAAATCAAAAGAGCTCTCTGTGCCACGACCCAAACAAACGCTGTCTTCTCTTACTCAATAGTTCTGGTTGTGCTTTTTGTGTATGTGTATGTGTATGTGTATCTCTTGCAGCCTGTCTTTGATGTTCTTTCTTCTTTTTAAGCGCTACGTATTTTTCTCTTTGTCTATCTTCTCCTTTGTGTATATACTGTGTTTATGTATGTGTGTGTGTATGAGAATAACTGCAAATGCACATAAAAAACTTTTGCAAAACCGAATGCACGAATAAAAGCAAAACAGAGTGGAATTCGGTGGAATGAAAAAAAAAACAACAACAACAACAGCAGCAACGAGTAGCTGAATAAATATTGAAAACAAGATGTAACCATAACAGAAAACAAAGAAAATGAAGAGGAAACGAATTCGTTACATTCGGCAAATAAAGACGAGCTTACGTAGAACGCAAAAAGCGAAACACACGGCAAAAGCGAGAAGAATGTCAAACGACAAGAGCACTGAAAGACACTCGCATCGAACGGCAGTACGAGCGAAACTGGAGCCAAATGCATTAAAATAAGATGAGAACAAGAAAATGAACGCTAAAGTGGGAAACACAGCAGTTGAAAACGTTGTCAAATGAATCCGAAAAAACGAGACACCGGTTGGAATTGCAATCATAATATTTATGTATTGCCACGTGCAAAGAGAGCAAAATGAAGGGAAAATAAAGAAAAGTTGGCAATAGAAAACCCATTGGTTTCATATGAATATCAACTACTTGGAAAGGCGAACGGCTTATTATCTTAATGAAAAATTACACTCGATGAATTATTCGGTTCGACGGTGAAAAAGAGGATGGAATTTTCTTGGTAGCAAAGTTTTATCGACGCATTGTTGCGCCAGCAAATGGACGAAATGGTCGTTTATATATTATACAAACATTTTGATCAGTGTTCAATAGCAATGCATTTCGATTACATACTCTTGGCTTCTTTATCACCAGGTGATATAATACCTGAATGGAGTGGAACAATACCAAGCGCCCAACGATTCAAATCTCGATCCAAATGCACATTGGGAAGTCCATGAAATCATCTCCTATATTATTCACATTTTGCATACATTTTGGATGTATTAATAAGTCGGTATTTGCTAAGCAAAGAGTTGATATTTTTAGTTTTTGAACTCGTTGGCCCGCAGCAATAGTCCACTTAAATCACATGCACACATTCTCTACATTCTCACTGTGTCTCACATGCGTTCCAAATTCTAATCTCGAATCCACTGGGTAGCGATAGCTCTTCGTTTATGTGTGGCCATGATTTATAAATGTGCAGATATCGCTGTTAACTATTTATTCACAGCTTCGAATAATGTGTGTGTGTGTGTGTGTTTGTACAAATTAAAAAGTTTAAAAACTTTTATCATGAATAATAGTTTGGCAGCAACTGCATCAATAGCGGTATGGCTGGAGTTTACACCAAGGATTGCCGTGTTTTTTTTTTGTATTTGGTTCATTTCTTCTTCATTGGCTGTGAAATCTAATGTCAAGCGGAATTCCTAACTAGTATTTTAATTTATTTGCAGGAAGCGGAAAGTGCAATAACAGCAATGAATGGACAATGGTTAGGCTCCAGATCAATTAGAACGAATTGGGCAACTAGAAAGCCACCAGCGACAAAGGCCGAACGTGAGTATACCAATTTTACTATGAATACACACCTATATATTTATAATAGTTTGGCTATGCCCATTCGTTTGTTTGGAATTCAAATTTTCTATGCATTTTTCTCAGTTGTTTGGATTTTTTTTTACTCGAATTGCAAAAGCGTCAAGTGCCTTAACAGCAACACAGGAGACATATTTATTTATTTTATTACGAATTTAGATGGTAAAATGCAGAATATTTTCACCGAATGATCGGACAAACAGCGAACGCTGTTCATAGTGTATGCACCAAATTTATCTACTATAATTTCCTTGTTGCCCGGTAATTTCGACATTTAACTCCTTTTTTGTATTTTATTTCGACCATAAATCTATTACCACCTTAGTTTGGAACGACGAGCACCCTGTTTACCTGTGAAAATTCACATACACACACATCCATACGTACACATACCTTGTTTCCAATTTCTTTCAGCAGAGGTGTTGAAATGTACCAAAAAGCCTATTTTATCGCTGCTTCAATACATACGCCATCGAAATACCGTTGCATATAATGTGTCACGAAAGATAAAAAGAAAACCAACGAAAACAACAACAGATGCAGTGACTACGTATATTTTCCAGCATTTTGGCTCAAAATTTTATGAATATTGATTTCAAAGAAGCAAGACATGGCAGGGATTGGAAGAGCAAGAGAAGCATAGCAAAAATAATGACTTTGGTAATTCAATAGCGCTGATAAAATACTCCAATGTGATATGGGAGCGAAAACCCAGAATAAAATAAAAATAAGAAGAAACAAGAAATAACAACAATGAAAGTAAATATATACATCGTATTAAAAATGTGCTTTACATGTGCATAGCAAACACAGTACGGCCTATTCTCTTTGCTTTCTGACTCTCAGTCTTACTCTCTATCTGTGGTTTCTGCTATCCAATTCGCAACAACGCCACTTACATTACCGTATTACGTTTGTAAAAAAGATGGAAAAACGAGTACTTTTCGTACGGCCGAGTGAAATTCATTTCACATTTATTATTTACGAAATTCACGTATCAATTTCAGCCGTTTTCATTTGCCAATATCTTTTACTTCGCGTCTTTTCGCCCACTCACTCACTCATTCTGTGCAACAGAATATGTATGGATGATGTGGGATCTCGTCGCGGTTACAATTCACCCCATTCCAATCGAATGGGTTCGAGAGATGAAAAAAACCTCACTTGTTTCCGCATTGTCGTTGCTGCCATTCTTTCTGCTACATTCTCTTAGGCAGAATGAGCCCGGTTACAATTGATCTCATCTCACCGACCACCTATTCTATATTTCTGGGTGACTTTAGATAAAATGTACTTTTCGCTTTGGCAAGCAGAGTGTGTATGTCGGAAAAAAGCGTGAGCACGCGCCTTTGGTGGCGACGTGAATGGCACAAAAAAAACTTCGTGCCGTTCGGAAGGTTCCACAAGAGTCAGATGGGAATAGAATTTGATATATACGAATTTTGGGGGTGGCTAAATTAAATTTTTTATTCATGAAATATTGCAGAAAATTGTACTTTATTTATAGACCTCTTAAACCAATGATATTTTGCCGAACGCATGTTGGGTTTGCTTGAGGCATAACAATGGATGAATGACTATTATTTTAACAATTCCTCAGCTTTCAAATAACACATACACGCACAATCGGCATACGAGTTTGATGGTTTGATGATTTGATAGAAGTTCCAGCTTCAAAATACGGTTGATTGAATCTTACAGCATGTTTGCTATGGCATACATTAAATTATTTGCTCAACTAATGACCCAATTAAGTCAAACTAAACAAATCACTCAAAACATAATGATCAAACTGTAAAAGTCTTTAAAAATCTCATAACCACAGCATCCCAGTAGTGAAATATTGGCATATTGTGTGCGTATGTGTGTGTTTTGTGTGTTTGTTTGACCAGACGAAAATCCAAAATTATCCATTATTCATTGCCTTTGGTTCATTATTTATCATTTAGACTCGTTCGCAAAACAGCCCGATATTCGCATCCACATTGTCTATGATAAGCGATCCTCGATCTTCATCCACGTGGATAATGTGCACGAGCAATATTTTGTGCTAAATAATTTCTCATTCACATGCATTTGCTCATGCTGCGGCATAAAGTTCTGTTGTCGATTTAATGCTTTTTGAGTCCGTCGTGAATTTATTTATTTTTTTTCTCTTTCGTTAGTTTATTCGTTCGTTGGGTGTCATGCTGCTGCTGCTGCTGTTGCTATTGCTGTTGTTGTTGCAAGAACGTTGTTCTCTTCTCAATTTATGCTGGTTTCACCCCATGTCAATTTCGAGAAGTCGTTTAACGGTTGACCATTGTTTCGGTTCAGTTATTTCGTTGTTCTCTTGTGTGGCCGTGTTCATGCTGTGGTTCGAATGGTTGTGGTGATGGGCAGTTCACTCATTCTGCTGCCATTTGCTGGTGCTGTTGCTTTTTTTCCTCTCTTCCGCTCTTTCAAACTCTACCTTGCGCTATCGATCAGACACTTTAACTTTCATTTTGTTCTCATTCATAATAAATGACAACTTGCAAAAACTCATATGTGAAGAGGAGAGATGGAAAGCAACGCTTCTGCACCGTGCCATGAGCGCACATCAATATGAAGATACGCTATAAAAATAAAGAACGAAACGAAATGAAACGACACACCGAACAATAACAACAACAAGATAAACAGAAAAAAATCGAACCAAAATGACAAATAAAGCGAATAAAATCGAAGCAAATCCGAAACATTTCGTTTTCGAAAACAAAAACCGCATGGCTAAATAGCCATGAGACTGAAGATTGCCCTGGCAAACACAGATGCTAAAATACGCGTGTAACGCCTTACGTCAATTTTCAATATCCCACTCACAGAAAGAAAGAGAGGCACTACGCTCTCTCTTTCCCTCTGTCCTGCACATTGGTCTCAGTGCGAATTCGTTTTCGTTTTTGAGATGGACGGGTTTGAGTGGCGAACGAATATTGCGAGTTGTTCCACAAGCGGTGCTATCAAAAATTTAAATAATATATAGATTCCAGTCTGTCTTTGTCTCATTCGCATCGGAACATCCCCCTGTCCTCAATTTTCCCAGCGCTCTTCCAATTCGTTGTGGATACTTGTCAATGCTGCGATGCCAATGCAATGTGAATGAAGAGGGTGGCGAAAAAAGTTTTATTGCTTGCGGTCACTGGTCATAAACATCGTACGTTACTATTTATTTATCTTTAAAAACTATTTCGATGGATACATTTTTTTTCCTACACTCACTCACTCTCTCCCTGCAGATGTGCTGATACAGCAACAAATACCATCTTCTTGTTTTTTATTTTTTTCAAAAATTCTTACCGTTTTTTTTTTGTAGTGTCATTTCCTCTCCATTTTATGACTTTGTTTATGCTTAAACTTAAACGTCGTATCGTATACGAAAAAGCAAATGAAATCGTATTTTGGATATCCATTTTTACTGTTGTTCAAGTTTTTTTTTCGTTGTCCGTCGAGAAAATAAAAGTGGAAAAGCACGTAACACGACTGGCAAAAAAGCGAGTTAAGAAAAAAATATTGTGAATATGACAAAAGGAAAACTTTGAAGATTTTTTTCCCTTTTTCAACAATAAACTATAAAGTGTCATGACAAAGGTTATTTTACAATATTTTCATTCTATTTTTCGTTCGTTTTCTTTTCGCAATACTCCATGTAAATTGAATTGGAAATCAAGATCTAATCGAGAACCTTGTACGAAACATTCCAACGATGGCGAGAGAAAGAATGAAGTTGAATGGCCATAGTATCAAAACCAAATTGAACAGGGAAAGATTAAGCTTTTTAAATGAAGACATGTGATGAAGGTTGAACAATGAACCAAATTTCAATTAAACGACAGAAATTAGAAATGTTCACACTAAAAGCACACACACACACACGCACCATGCCATGGAGCAAACGAGAAAAAAAAATTCAACACTCACAACACAAAACACAAAAACGAGAACGTAGCTCTAGTAAGTGAGCTAAATTAAAATCGGATAAGAATAAAATTACAGTAGCATTGCCGGCAGTTTACAGCGCCAACATCAGAAGCAATAGTAACAGCAGAAGAGATGAAAATGAGTTACAAAATTAGACAAACATGTTATTTCAAAAGGTTAGAATTTGCATATATGCATATATATGAGTGAGATTGAGAGGTGGGTATGTTCGATAGACTTTGTTGAAAAAGGAGAGTAGGTGTCTTTGCACTAGAACATGGTTAAAAATGAGTATTAAAAACTGAATCACTCTATTTTTTATAGACAGTTTATCTTCTTATCATTTTTCGTGCATAATCCCTGGCAGAAAAGTAAAGTTGTAAGATAGGTTGAGAAACCACGAAAAACTTATATCTGATCAAACTGCCAGTGCCCAGTGCCCAGTGCCCAGTGCCATCGGTCATCACGTGCATGTATTGACAGTTACATTCAAATTTGATTTTTTCTTCAAGAGTGCTGCGTTCGGGACCATGAATCAAACTGTTAGCTGTAGTAGATATACTCTTGTTTTCAAGCGCAAAGAAACTTACTCACTTTTCTTCTAAGCAGAATGACTGAAAACATACACTCCTCTCAATCTCAACCAAAGTCGTATGTGTAATTGAAAAGTTGGAAATTCTAGAGAAACACACATGCTGCGACGCTGGCGTTGAGGGGAACGGAAACATAATTGGTTGAAACTCAACAATCGCGCAATGCACGCAAAACACGCGAAAACAATTAAATGCACAAAGCTGCATTATAGTTTCGAAAGACTTTGTCCAAAAAAAAAAGAAGAGGCGGAGACAATCCGAACAACAAATGCAGAAAGATACTCAACTGAATTTACTTTGAATTTTTTTTTGCGTCTTCCTCTCATTCAGTTCAGCATTCATTCATCGATTCGTTCTTTCATTTGGAATGTGTCTTACATCGTTTGGCATTCAATTTTTTTGTGCTTACACAAAAGCAGCTTTTCCACT